AATTGAACGTTACATAAAACAAAATTCGGACTTTATTCTTCTTTAATACTATTCTGCACTGCATGTATATGTTCATGCATCCTATATATACATATGGATGATTTCTACGGGTCTTTTTCTTTACAGATTCGTCAAACTATGAAGGGGAGAAAACATATGCTGTAATAATTGGACTGTTAGCTGGGGTTGCTTTATTCATCATCTTCTTCGTATTCATGAGAAGGCTCTTTGTGGGAAACGGTAATTAGCTACAAACTACGTACATTACTTTTTCTTAATCTAAACTATTTCAGTAATATACTAAAAATACTTGATTAAATAATTAATTGGACACTTCTGCTTTTTGCAGGTAAATGAAATAACAAAATCTTCAAGAAATTTCTAGCTAGGATTTGCTACTTTTGATACCCCTTTTTGCTTGCCATATTTTCATGGTGGACATCAACTCTTCTTTCTATCTTTGCTTATCTTTTCTGCAAAACTTAAAAAAGAGAATGGAAAAAGGAAGCTGCCAAGATTCCACCCATCTCCACTTTATTTTGTCTAATTTGGAGAAATGGTCAATTCTTTTTGTAAAGGCATGCATTTCTTTTATTACATATTCGTGTTTCGAACTATCCATACACGTACATGCGTATATCAAAAGATTCATATAAAAAAAAAGATGAAAAAAATTGAATGAAAGACAAACATATCAAAGGATATGCAATGAGGGTACTGTTGTTTTACTTCTCTATGGAAATAGTAATTGTCGATTACATTCATGCATGCTGGTAGCTTTTTAACTGAAGTACTGTATATGCGTGTGGAAGAATCATTTTGTATATTCTCCCACACATTATCCCTAAATGCTTAAAGGCGAAGGAATCCATAACTAATTGAGAAAAATGCTTTAAAGTAGAACATGAAAAAAGGCTCGAAACATTATAAAGTCAACCAACAACTTTAGGCAAAGCCACTCTTGTATTATAAAGGCAACCAACACTAATTATATAGTATTGTTTAACACTAATTTAGGTGGCGTTTAATCATATGACATGTTAAACGTCGTCACCTAAATTAGTGTTAAACAATACTGATAATTCTATATAACAATAACATGGTATTGGATGTTTTCCACTTTGATCCAAATAGTGGAGTTCGCTCAATTCGACTTTAATCATGAAGTTATTATATGGATGACACTATGATCACGTCATTATGGAACTCTTGCAAAATAATCATTCTTGCATTAACCAATTAATCGGGTAGGGATTACAAAATGTTCAGCTATGTAAATGAAGAAAAAAAAGGTACCATGTAATTTCTTATTATGAGTCCTATAAAATTTATTATGCCACTGTACGAGCCCCATTTTTTCAAGAATGTATTTTTTTAAAACTCATTTTCAGTCAAACTTTTCTTATAAAATAATTATACACGTATTTCAAGAATTTTTCCTTATTTTTTAATTACACACTTTTCAAAAAATCACTATTTCATAATACATTTTATCCCAAAAATGGGGATCAAACTGGGACTATGTCTTCTTTCCATGTGATTTTTTGATCGATACTATTAAAGTTAGTTCCTATGATTATAATAATTTTAGCTGATGCTCCTAAATTCGTAAACGTACCATATTGATACTATGACCCATTGTGTTGAACAAACTAAGCCCTACTAAAAAAATTGATAAAAATCTAAATCTAAATTAAAAATTAATTTTAGCAACATATTTCATGGGACCTATAACTTTTATCACATTTTCAACAACATATTTCACCAACTTTTATCAAAATCTACTAAAAATTTTGATTTTTAACAAATCAAATAGGGGCTAAATGAGTTTTCGGTAAATAATTATGCATCTCGTCTGACTATTTTGTTGAATGTTACAACACTTATAAGTCACGGATGTTACTAAAGTAGAAATAATTTTCGACATCGTGGTAATTATAATAATAATAACTCGATTAACTCTAAGAAGGTTCACACATTATGAAGAAAAAAAAAAAAACGCTTCATAATAGCAAATAATTTATATTAAAATGTCACGTTATTCACATTTTTCCAATGTGAATAATTATGAATCTCGTCTGACTATTTTGTTTCATTCCTTGAAGTGAATGTTACAATACTTAAAAGTCTTGGACGCTGCTAAATTAGAAATAATTTTCCGACATCTTGGTGGTTATAATAATAATAATAATTTCATTTAACTCTAAGAAAATCCAGACATTATGAAGAAAAAACAAAAGCTTCATAATTACAAATAATTTATATTCAAATGTGACATTATTGGTCAAGTACTTGTACATTTGAAAAGCTTGTTCAACTAGATCAAGTCTCCAAAAGGTTAAGAGAGAATGAAGGGAGATAACATTGATATAATGGCCGGTTCCGTATATAGGGCCTGTTTGGACCAGTTTAAAATTACTGTTTGTTAAACGTCTTCACCTAATCTATGAATCATTTGTATTGAGAATAAAATGCTTTCAATTAGGTAATGCTATTTTATTTGCAGCAACACTTTACGCATCATGCCAACATTAAATTTCTAATCACTATAGTTGACTTATGGTGAGAGGCTTATCTTTTTCATAAAATGATTTTTGATAGTGCAATATATGTATACTCCAAAAATTTAACAATTATGCTCTTTTTTAGGTATTTGATTTTTTCGTCCCATTAAGTTTTTGACAAGATTTTTAAAAAGACAGTTATTGTGCAAATAGTAATCAAAGGAGAGTGTTATAAAATTATGAAATAATTATTGATGCTATTTAATTTTATCATGATACTTAAATAATTATTACTTATTCTAAAATAGTATTTTCTATTCAAATTGTAACTCCTATTAAAACCCTATAAATTTGGGCTATAATATGAAATATACACACAATTTTGTCTATATATTTTTTTTTTCTATTGTTCATTCTTTTCCTCTTAGTTTTAAAATTTGTTTCTTTTTGAAATTTAACTCATACCTTATTGTAAGAATTTGTAATTTTCTTTTAATTTATTATTTTATACTTTGAAATAAATTTTATCCATTTTGCAAAATTTATAAACAATGACAAAATTTGTTATTGAAGTTCAATTATGTTGACGAAAGGTTTCATCGACTCATAAATATTGTTTGAAAGTATATTTGTGAAATTACAATGAAAGTATAATGATGGGTGTAAAAGTTTGTTGACAGTCTTTGGTCGCGTCGTTGAAACACTCACACAAGTTGTGCCCATCTTTTATTGTAGAGAAACTTTGCTCACTAGCAATAGTTAATGGATGTAAATGAAATCATTTAGGGTCTGCTTTGAGTTTTTTTTGTGCCGATTTGGATCGATTTTGGATGGCATCGTTTATAAGGGTTGAAAAAGTCGATGTTTACTATTTTTCTGCGCACTGATTTTAGATAGTTTAAAAATCACCCAAAATCAATTGTGTAATCTTGACAAGTTCTCTCAACCTATCAAAATTGGCGAGTTTTGGTCGTTTCTCTTATTCTTTTTTAATTTTATCATTTATAAAATAATTATTTCCAATCAACTTATTTTCTTCAAAACTAACTTGTAAACAAAAATATATTAACCAAAAAATTATTTATAAGCAAAAAAATTACATTATAATTTTTTTAAAAATATTTATAAGTAAAATATTACTTATAAGATAAGAAAAATTACTTATAAGTAAAAAATTACTTTTATGTAAAAATATTGCTTATAAAATGAAATAATAATAATAATAAGATAAAAATTCACTTATAAAATATAAAAAATTACTTATAAGTAAAAATTCACTTAAAATTATTTAAAAATATAAAATAAATTTATAATTGTAAAATTTACATATAAATAAAAAAATATTAACTTAAAATTTTAAGTAAATATTTAACTTTACTAATTTTTTAAGTTAAACATTAACTTGTATGTAAAAAAATTACCTATAAGTAAAATGTCATTTACGAGAAACAATTTCATATAAAAAACTATAAACTGGAAATTATACCAAGAGACATATATATAATTTTATTCTTTTAAAAAAAATTCACAAGTGGTAAATAATAAACTCGCAAATTAAGGTTGGATGATTTTAAAATAGCTACTAAAACCACTCAAATTTGACCCGCTCATAAACGTTCAAAATCAATACTTTGAAAAATGCTCTAAGAGATATGCCGAAACATCCAAACATGCCCTTAAAGTTTAATGGTCTGGGTGAAATTCATTGTATAGTTTAGTGGTCATTCATACAATTAACAAATAGATGCGCCTGTTTGAGCCATTGTTTTAGAATAAATTTTGTGAAAAAATAATTTTTTTGGATATGTGTGATAAAAAAAAGTAAATAAATAAATGTGTAAAGATATTTCATTGAAAGAATATATTTTAAAGATAAATTTTAAAAATATTTTTTAAAGGGCTGTGCTATGTGTACACAATGATTTACACTCCCCTTCACATGGAGGGGGACCTGCACACAATAAAATATGTGCGAGCCCCCCTCTATGTGAGGAGGGTGCAAACCATTGTGTATACCCAATGGTGTACACATAGTTTAATTCTTTTTTAAAACATAGGCTCAAACTATTAGTTATGAAAGGAATAATTTTTACTTGCCATGTTGATTGAACGGTCTTGGTAATTGGCGTGTGCACCAAAAAAAGTACGAATCAGATGCAGCATATCATAGCGTAGCATTGTTACATGTATATTAAAATTTACACAATGAATTACGTAATGTTACGTGACTTTATTTCATTTATCAGTTTAAAATACAATTAACTTTTTCATCAAATATTTCATTTCACATCATTGATTCATTATCAACATTTTTTATGGATAATTTGCAAAATACATCTTCTCCTAGCACCAAAATAATTTGACAAGGCACATAGTAGCTTCCAGACTTTCTAGACACTTCTCCCATACACAAAACCCCAATCAATCCCCACTACAAATTCCCTGCTCCCCAATCTTGACTCCACGATACAAACAACGACACACACACAAGAAATTATGGCCCTATTTGGCGATCCTTTCCGGCGATTATTATGGAGCCCCACCATCTACCGTGCATCCCCAGGATCAACGGCTCTCCTTGATTGGATTGAATCCCCTCAAGCCCACGTCTTCAAAATCAATGTTCCAGGTAAATCGTTTATCATTTTTCCCAGTTGTGCTGTGTGCTGCAGTTTTTTTACTGTTTTCGGAGGCTATACTTTTACGGGTTTTGTTTGGATGCAGGTTATGGAAAGGAGGATGTTAAAGTGCAGGTAGAAGATGGTAATATTCTGGTGATTAAAGCTGAAGGAGGAAAAGAGGATTCCCTCGGAAAAGACAAAGACATTGTTTGGCATGTGGCCGAGAGAAAAACGGAGAGGGAAAACTTTTCGAGGGAAATTGAATTGCCTGAGAATGTGAAGGTGGATCAGATCAAGGCACAAGTGGAAAATGGTGTGCTTACTGTTGTTGTACCTAAAGATACAACTCCCAAGGCTTCTAAAGTTCGGAACATCAATGTCACTAGCAAACTCTAAATCTTAAAAATGTAAATGCAATGGTAATGACTGAAATTATGTGTGTGTAAGCAATAATATCAGAGGTACAGCACGAATAAAATTCGATTTTTGAAAGTCGTTTGTATTTGGGTTCTAATCGTTGATTTTAGGTTGGTTAATTACAATTTCAAGTTATTTTCTTGTAACAGTAGTTGCTCATGTTTTTAAATGTTAAATTAGTGGTCACTTAAAAAGTAATTTTGAATCTTCCAGTAGGATCTTGTGTCCAACGCCACTGATCATACATCGTAGGTGTGCGAATGGATTTAGCAGCTCAAGTTTTGGCTTTCTCCATCCAAGTCTTGAACATATTGTGTTTAGCTTAGGTGTAACCCTCCACAAGTAGTTTAGAAATAAAGAAAGCTCAAGCAAACACCTAGCGTTCCTTAAATTTTAAATATTTGGATGAATGTATTTGGATTAGCGTTCAAAATAGGTGAGCTCTACCTTCTACAACTGTTGCTGGTGTAGTCACACCCACTAACATATCTCTGTGGACTAAAACCAACCTTAATGAATGCAACTGGAAGAGTAAAACATTATTTGCTCTGTTCATGCTCGTATCTACTGAAGAGTTTATGCGAGTGTCGATGTGTGAAACTGTTAAAGAAGTTTGAGATATTCTAGAAACCACACACGATGTAACTAAAACGATTAAGAATTCTAACCTGCAGATGTTAACCACTAGATTTGAAGAGATTAGGATGAACGACGATGAATTTTTCAATGAATTATATGCGAAGTTGAATAATATAGTTAACTCTAACTTTAACTTAGGTAAAAGAATCCCCGAAACCAAAATCGTTAGAAAAGCCCTTAGATCCATGTCCGAGAGGTTTAGACCTAAGGTACTGCGATAGAAGAGAGTAAGGACCTAGATGCTGTTAAGATTGAAGAACTCGTAGGATCACTTCAAACTTATGAACTCACTGTTTCTCAACCTAAAAATGTTAAATCAATCGCCATGAATATCATTAGAAAAGAGGGGAACAAGTCCACTGATACTAAGACCCTTAGGGACGACGAAATTGCTTATTTCGTTAAAAAATTCCAGAAGATGATGAGGAATAGGAGAAAACCTCAAGAACGAAAAACTGGATTCCCTAGTAAATTCATGAAACATAATCGTGAAGAGAGTGACTCTAGGACTGCTAATAATAAAACCCAATCTGTGAGATGCCGTGAGTGTTAGGGTTACGGTCACTATAGGAATGAATGTCCTAACTTGAAAATGAGTTCTAATAATGGTAGACGTAAGGCTTTAGCTGTGACTTTAAGTGATGATGAATCAGATTCTAGTGTTCAGAGTGATACGTCTGGTGAAGAAGATAATCAAAGGCTCATGACCTTCGTATCTATAGCTACCATAGAATCTGATAAAGAAGTTAAGATGGTTTGGTTTAAAAAGATTGGTGTATCTAGGTCAAATGATTAGATGAACTGTTATGTTACCCACATCGCACTTAAGGCCCAAAATGTCTCTATGTGGTACCTTGATAGTGCTTGTTCTAGACATATGTGTGGAGACAAGGCCCTGTTATCTTCTCTTGTTGAATGGAATGGCGGCGTCGTGACTTTTGGAGATGGCGCTATTGCACCTATACTTGGTAAAGGTGTTGTCACTATATCGGACTTCCTACCATCTCTGATGTGCTTTATGTGAAAGGGTTAAAGTCAAACTTGTTAAGCATTAGTCAAATATGTGATGCTGATTTCGAGGTTAGTTTTGTTCAAAAAAGATGTACCGTATATGATTCTATTGGTACTGTTGTCCTCAAAGGTGTAAGAACTTCAGAAAATTGTTATGGAGTCCTACCTAATTCCCACTATGTGTGCAGAAGTGCAAAGATTGATTTAACTGAACTGTGGCATCAACGACTTGGCCATATGAATTATAAAAGTTTGTCTAAACTCGCCAAGAAGGAACTTGTAAACGGCTTACCTAAACTTGACAATACTGATACCATAATATGTGGCCTGTGTCAACAAGGTAAACATATCAGAGTTTCTCATAAACTTACCTCTAGGATTTTGACAAGCAAGCCTCTTGAACTACTTCATATGGACTTAATGCGATCACCTAGGACCGAAAGCCTTGTTTGTAAACGGTATATCTTGGTTGTAGTTGACGACTCCTCTCGATACCCATGGATTGAGTTGTTGAGAGATAAAATTGAGGTGTTCGGTCTAATCATCTCATTGTGAAAAAAACTTAGAAATGAGAAAGAGTTTACTATATCAAGAATTTATAGTGATCATGGAAAAGAATTTGAAAACTCTAACCTTGAGAACTTCTGGTTGGAAGAAGGAATCCAACATGAGTTCTCCTCATTGATCACTCCACAACAGAATGGGGTAGTTGAGAGAAAATCGTGTGCTTTAGGAAATGGCAAGAGCCATACTTCATGGTAAGGATCTTGCTATGTACTTCTAGAGGGAAGCCATCAACACTGCTTGTCACATTGTTAACAGGGTTTATTGAAGACCTAAAATTAATATGACACCTTATGAGATTTGGAAAGGTAAACGGCTAACTGTCAAGTACTTCCGTGTGTTTGACAGCAAGTGATACATATTAAGAGATAGAGAAAATTTGGGCAAGTTTGATTCTAAAAGAAACGAGAGAATTTTTCTAGGTTATTCCAGAAATAGTCGTGTCTATCGTGTATACAACTCTCATACACGGGTTGTGATAGAGTCGATCAATGTAGTGGTGGATGATGTCTGTAGTGAGGGGGAGACTGAAAGCAATGGGGTAGAGCTGGAACACCTACGTGTTGATCACGTCCTGGTAGTTGAACCTAAACAAACCCCCGTTCACGATTCCCCACGTGCTTCTAATGGTTTAGATAGTCCTACTAAGGAATCCACATCTGATGATAAACCTGAACTTTCAAAAAAACTCTCGTCTCGCGTTAAAAAGAATCATCCTAAAGTGAACATTATAGGGGATTTGGATGAAAGAATGAGACTCCGTAAGAGGGTTTTGAACAATCTGACGTATGCTAGTTATGTATCTCAGGTTGAGTCTAAGAAAGTGGAAGAAGCTCTTAGCGATGGGTTTTGGGTTAATGCGATGTATGAAGAACTAAATCAATTTGTGAGAAACAAAGTTTAGGATCTAGTTCCTAGGCCTGATGATTGTAATGTTATAGGTACTAAATGGATATTTAAGAATAAAACTGATGATCAAGGTACTATAACTAGAAATAAGGCTAGGTTAGTAGTCCAAGGTATACTCAGGTTGAAAGAGTTGATTTCGATGAAACTTTTGTACCGGTAGCTAAGTTTGAATCCATTAGAATTCTTCTGATTGTTGCCTGCACTTTAGGTTTTAAATTATATCAAATGGATGTTAAGAGTATCTTCTTAAATAGAATTCTTCAGGAAGAAGCTTATGTTGAACAACTTAAATGATTTATTGATCCTAAATATCAACATTATTTTTATAAGTTGAATAAAGCCTTATATAGTCTGAAATAAGCTCCCAGAGTTTGGTATGATAGACTTACTGCATATCTCATGGAACATGGGTTCTCGAGAGGTAGTGCGAACTGAACCCTATTTATAAGACATATTGAAGATACCATCACGATAGCCCAGATCTACGTTAATGACATTATCTTTGATTCTCCTGTTGATTCTCTTACTCATGATTTTGCTGAGTGTATGAAGCAAGAATTTGAGATGAGTATGATTGGAGAATTGAATTACTTTTTAGGGCTTCAAGTCAAACAAACTGGGGATGGGGATGGATTGTTCATCTTTCAATTGAAATATGCCAAAAATCTTGCCAAATGTTTTGGTTTAGACAGTAAGAAACACACTAGAACCTCCATGAGTATCAGTGTAAAGTTAGGTCATGATTCTATAGGTAAGAATGTTAAATAGACTCTTAACAGAAGTATGATAGGTAGTTTACTTTTTCTCACTGATAGTATACCTGACATAGCTTTTAGTGTAGGGTTTGTGCACGTTTTCAGGCTGATTCTAAAGAATCTCACCTGAGTATCGTACAACGTATCATCAGATGTGTAAATGGAACTGTAGATTATGGGATCCTATGCTCTTGGGACTCTAAACTTGATCTTACTGGTTATTCTGATGCCGATTGGGCTGACAATGCTGATGATTGCTTGGATGAGTAAAAAACAAAATTCTATCTCATTATTCACGGCAAAAGCTGAATATATTGTAACAGGAAGCTACTGCACTCAACTGTTTTGGATGAAACAGATGCTGTGACTACGGGATTGAACAGGGAATTATGACTGTGTTTTGTGATAATACTAGTGCTATTAATATTTCGAAAAATCATGTTCAATGCTCTTGAACTAAACATATTGTTATTAGGTATCATTTCATTCGAGAGTTAGTGGAAACCTGAATTGTAAATCTTCAACATATTTCTATTGAGAACCAATTAGCTAACTTGTTTACTAAATCATTGGATGAGCTTCGATTCGAATCACTTAGAACAGCTATTGATATTTGTATGCCTTACTAAATAAGTATATTTTATGCATGCTCGTATTCTACTATTGTGAGATTTTGAGTTATGCACGCATCATGTTTATTTCTTTATTCTCATACATGTCTACTTTCTGTGTTTATGTTTTGTTTGTGTGAATTTTCTTGTATTTTGTGTGCTTGGTGTATTCATGTTGTTAATTTAAAAAAGAAAAGGAAAGAGAAAAATTTTATGTAGGAAATTATTTTACAGCATGATATACAATACACTTGATTTTGTTGGTCGTAATCAAGTATGAGTTTATTTAGTGAGCTGTAATATAATTCGCATTGCTGGCTGAGGATACTTTTGGAATATTTAATATGAGTCTCTTCATATACCATGTGCACTGCACACACTTTGAACTTGATAGTGGGACTCTACCGCATATGTGAGATTTGAGATGGCTGTCACATGTTGGTAGACTGACTTTGAACATGAATTGATCAACTTATTTAGACCTAAACTC